TTTGAGACAGAATCTCACTTTGTTGCCCAGGCTAGAGTGCTGTGGTGTCAGCCTAGCTCACAGCAACCTCAAACTCCGGGGCTCAAGTCATCCTCCTGCCTCAGCCTCCCGAGTAGCTGGGACTACAGGCATGTGCCACCGTGCCCGGCTAATTTTTTCTGTGTATATATTTTTAGTTGTCTAGATCATTTCTTTCTATTTTTTAGTAGAGATGGGGTCTCACTCTTGCTCAGGCTGGTCTTAAACTCCTGACCTTGAGCGATCCACCTGCCTAGGCCTCCCAGAGTGCTAGGATTATAGGCATGAGCCACCGCGCCCGGCTAGTGTGCAGTGTTTTTTAAAAGTGGACAATTGAACTATAAATTTGTGATACTAATAAATAATTTATTTTAGTAGATCTACAGAAAATGAGGAAATTCTCTCTCTGGAAAATAAAGATGTAGACTTTAGAGAAAAAGAATCATCTTTGAATTTATCTTACCAAAGTCATGACTGCTCTGGTGCCTGTCTGATGAAAATGCCACCAACCTTCAAGGGAGAAAACCCTCTGCAGCTGCCAATTAAGTGTCACTTCCAAAGACGACATGCAAAGACAAACTCTCATTCTTCAGCACTCCATGTGAGTTATAAAACCCCTTGTGGAAGAAGTCTACGAAACATGGAGGAAGTTTTTCGTTACCTGCTTGAGACAGAGTGTAACTTTTTATTTACAGATAACTTTTCTTTCAATACGTATGTTCAGTTGACTCGGAACTCCCCAAAGCAAGAAGAAATTGTTTCTGATGTGGATATTAGCAATGGAGTGGAATCAGTACCCATTTCTTTCTGTAATGAAATCGATAGTAGAAAGCTTCCGCAGTTTAAGTACAGAAAGACTTTGTGGCCACGAGCATACTATCTAAACAGCTTTTCCAACATGTTTACTGATTCATGTGACTGTTCTGAGGGCTGCATAGACATGTGAGTAGAAAAACATGGCATTTCAAAAAATCTTCTGAATGTAGCAATACTTGTTAAAAAGTCCTGCTATGTATCAATTTGTCTGTCTTTGTATCCAAAACCTGTTAAACAAGAGTCTAAAATGGAGAGATGCATTCTCACTAGCAATAGAAAAGAAAACTGTTTGTCAAATATAGTAATTTGAAAATTGTTTCTTACAAGGATGAGTGTTTCCTTTAATCTCATACCATAATCATAAAATAGCAATTACAGCAAATGCCAATTAACAATACCAGGCACAGTGGCAAGCACTTGACAGACATATTTTTAATCCTCACAAAAACCCCTGAGGTAGGTAATATTATCTCCATGTTACAAATGAGGAGGTTGAGTCCAGTTTAGAGAGGTCACAGGACAAATTGTAGAGCCAGGCTTTGAACCCATGTTCTTAACTACTGTGTTATATGTTGCATTTTACATTTAAAAATCATTTCCTGACTAATTTTTTAAGAAAGATCATGGTGCTTATAACTAGTATTCTCTCGATCATGGTACAGTATTGACATTCCTTAAAAAAAGAAAATGTGTTCTAATATATGAAGACTTTGAAAAACATTTTGTTTTAAGGGTTTGTAGTATACATTTGTAGGTATACAGATGTCAAGTGGCTTGAATCATATATACATTTAATTTAATGCAAATGTAGTGGCCCTTACTAGGCAAAAGAATAAGAGAAATAGAAATAATTTAAGTGTTGTAGATAATCGTTTTCACCATCCTCACAGTTGGTTGAAGTATGAAGTGAGAGATATAAATCTACTGTTACCTAAGTTTGGCTCAGTTCTTTAGGCCTCTCATAGAGAAAACCTCTCACTGTGCTAAGTTTAAAAATAAGTATTTATTTTGTAAACATTGCCTCTGAATGTAGCCCAGCTGCTTCATGTGGGCTCTCCAGGGGGATAGAAACAGGTACTGGCACAAGACTGGAAACTAGGCTGTTTCACAGGACTTGGAATTAATGAAAACCTGGTTTATAACTGTGAAACCAATATGGTCAGAATCAAAGTAATGGAGAAAGCACCCAAGATAGAGGAGCACACAGGAGTAAACCCCACATAAAGTATAATTTCAAACATTGAAAACACACAAAGATGTTTAAGACCATGAAAGCAGCATGAGTCTCAACAGTAGGGAGAATTCACACCTAAGGAATCAGAGACAAATGTAGAATCCGAATGAAAGGGACTTTGAACATGTCTATTTTAAAGAGATAAAATATTTACATCCACAAAGTAAGAAAAGAAGATTAAAAGGAAAATGAGGCCAAACATGGTGGCTCAC